CAACTTTTGGATTTTTTTATCAGGGATTTTTCAGTTTTCAAATAGGGAACACCAGAATTCCTGCTAGGGAGGCAAGTGGCAGGACCCAGGCAGAGGAGCCTGCTCAGAGCTGGCACCCTGGACCCAGCTGGCTGTGGCTGACCTCCTGGCCAACTGGGGCCAGGAGAACATGCTTTGACAGGTCAAAGCAGGCCACCACACTGGGAACCTCTTCTGGGCGATAGCTGCCCGCATGGCCAGGCAGGGGGCACACATGGCAGTAGTGCCGCACAAAGGCCAAATCTGCAGCCCACTGGCAGCTGGCCCAGAGGGGCAGATGCCTCTACTGGCTGTACAGTCCCCATCTGGGTTTGGCAGGTGCGTAGCAGGTCACAGCCAGGCTGCTGCAGTGGGTAAAGGGTGCAGGGAACTCTCCGGGCTGCTTCAGTAGTCCAGCTGGCACAAGGGGTAGTGTCCCCAGGTACCAATTGGCTGGGCCCCAGAAACTCCTGAGAGTGAGTAGTCCTGAGCTACTTGACAGGGCAGCTTTTTGTACTGATGGGGTCAGGACAGGGCAGCTTTTTTTATACTGCTGGGGAAAGCACAGATGCTGGCCCCGGGCTCTAGCTCCCCCTGGCTGCAGATCCAGGAGGAGCCAGGCAGAGTTATTTTGCCCCAAGTGGCACAATTTGCCCCACACCAAAGTGCATGTTCTGGCACGTGAGCTCAAATCTGAACCACTTCTATTTGAGCTGCTGCAAGTGCACATGCTTGCATGTGTGGATGCACCCTCAGCATCTAGTGAGATGCAAATGTTAACCAGGTTTGTTGTGGATGATATCCTTTACTGGACCAACCGCATGGATGAGCTTTTGGGTACCACTTCCTCAGGTCTCACAAGAATTCTTGCCTCTTGCATTTTTGCTGGACCACCATGGCTTCCACAGCACCTCAACATTACCATTAACCCAGTTAACATTTACATGAATACTATGATACTAAATTCATAGAAGTTTGTCTATTCCTTTTATGTATCTGTAGACTACAAATGCTTTGGGGTAGAATACCTTCATTTTACATATATAGCACATAACAAAATAGGGCTGTTGGTTATTTTTGTACTGAAACTAATAATGGAAGCATGGTTCACTGATTTAAAATAATTAGGACTCCTTTTTCTAAATAAAGCACCCACATGTATGAATTGTTGTTCATATTTAAACAGTCTGTTTATGAGTGTACCTCTCCTAGCTTCTTGGGAATGTTCTCAGTACATCTTGCTCTTCCTTAACATCTAGTTTAGTCTTTTGGAATAAAAAGAAGTTGTCTGTGCCAAATTTTATACTGAGCAAATATTTTGGCTGAATAATAAAACTTCCCATAAAACTGCTCAAAACAGGTGTTAATGCCAAACAATGCTAGTTGAACACTTAGCCATAATGGTGCTGTGGGTCACTTGAACACACTTCCCACAGACTTTATGATCAGACTTGAAACATTTATCATCTCCCTGCCAACAAGAAGATTAAATGTGTTATCCCAAAATGAATTGGAAAGATGCGTTGACTTGGGTCCAGGGGTAACCTCCTGATAAAAAGTACAGTCCCTGTCTCCAGTCCCCATCCCTTGCTCCAGTCCTTTCAAATTGCTGAGAATATATTTTGATTCCTACCAGGATGCTATCCCTAGACTATATTTGAAAGACCTTCTGGGTTCTGATTAAATTTAACACTTCACCCTCATTCTAAGCAATGTATCAGTTCATATTTGAAAAAAACAGTTGTTAAGTTATGCTTTTTTTTTTGTTTAATGACTAGTTAAAATCTGAAGAAATTGACATTAGACATTCCATTCCCTAGGATAAATTTCCAGATGCACTGATGACTGGATTTTTCAAACACTTCTTATTGTCAGCAAACATATATTGGAATTCACCTACTGGGTCTACAAAAATATCATCTTGCATAACTCTGACAGTTTTGAATATTATTTTTGCACAGTACACATGTTGGATTTTGTAAGTGCTTGGTTTACCAGAACAGCAATCCAACTTCTCAAATCATTCAAGTTATGGCTCAAAAGGATTTATATAATTTTAAAAGTAAATGGATGTGATGTATCGTGGATGATGCTATACAAAAAGCCACAGGAGAGGAAATAACAATATAGATGACAACTTAGCAATGCCAACTAAAAGCTTCTGAGTGCTTTGCCAGGATCGTCATATAACCACAAACATGTGCTGCATGCTTCTTAGAGTTCTTAGAATAGCAAAGCTGTTTTTTAAGCCAAGAGTATAAGCCCCAGGCTCACGAAATTACAGAACCATAATGAAGTTGGAGTGAGTCTTCTAGCTTTAGAAAGCTAATTGTGGAAAACTTTAACGCTACCTGCATGCTGTATTAAATGTTATATTACCCACAACATTTTCTAAAGTGATTTCACTGCTGAATTGTTGTTCTGCACTATTCTTAAGTTGTTCACCTGTGCTCCTTGTTCAGTTAACTTTGGATTTCTCCTAGAGAAATCTGGGATTATCTGGTTGAGAAAAAAGCACTTCCCTACCTTTCTTAACCCACAAGGAGAACAAAACAGTGGGCTGTTCCAGTTTTCAATCAGATCTTTCCATGTGCCCTGTGTGTCCTTAAGGGGGACTCCTTAGCTATAAGAGACAGGGCAAAGGATACTCATCACCTTCTGCTAATTGTAGAGGCCTTTAAATTTTTATGATATTTCTGCTGATGATTATAATTTATGATATTTCTGCACTGCAGAATAATTCCAGGTCTTATGCAGTACTGCCTTCTGCCTCCACATGAAGTTGTTTTATGAGAGTGTGGCAGGGCACTGTTGGTGCCTGCTACTTTAAGAGCTGAGCCAAGCAGCCAGCAGCTGCTTGATTGTGGCAGCCATTTTAGATCTCTGGCTGCCTACATAAACAGGCCAGGCAGTAACATCACCTGGCTGCAAGGCTGAATGTAAGATCCTGGAGGTAAGGGCAGGAGCTGTAGGGGATGGTTTGGAGGTTCCTGGTCCTGGGCATAACCTAAACTGCACCCTGCTGACAGTGGGTGGCTTGGTGGGGCTCCTAGTAGTGCGGGAACCTCTGGGAAATACCAGACCAGTTACCACCCCAGTGAAAGGTGGGTTGGGGCACCTTAATAACCCCAGCTCCCACAACTGGGTAGGTTACCGCACAGTAGGGTCAAGAAGGTGGACCCAGATTAGAGAGTGGGGCTATAGACTCAGAAGCCTGACTTAGAATACCCTTGACTGGTGAATGCTGGGGCCAGGACCAGAACGGTCACAAGGGCCAGGGGCCTACTGTGAGGGATAACCAGAGCTGAGGGCCTGGGATTTCTGACTGGCCTTGGAGGTAAGGCCAGGGCCTGTGTGGCCAAAGGTCCCAGGGGGACCACACCTGAGAGGGGAAAGAGTTCAGGGAACTAGGCAGCCCAGCATGAGGATGGAGTAGGCTGCCTGACTGGAGGGATCTGGTTGGGGTCTGGATTGGAGGATTCTGGGGCCCAGTGATGCTATAACAACTGAGGATGCCATCTGCGAGGCTTAGGCTGCGGTGTAGGGGAGAAACAGAGCCGCAGATAGCGCCCCCTGGCATTGGGGCAAGAAATGGGCAGCCTCCTACCTAATTAATATCTTAATTTGCATATCATCAAGGCATGGCAGGTGAGGAGGCAGGCGGTTGGCCCAGAAATGGGTGGGTGGGCCAATGACAGATCAGCCCTGAATAGGTCTCCTGTTACAGAGAGGTTAGCAGTAGGCCTTTGGGGTTTTAGAGACTTGAACTCAGATACTACTTTCACTCAAGCTGGAATCTACCCATATTCACTGTGAAATACAAGCTAAACCACTTATGTGGTAACCATCCTTAATTGCCCTCCTGTAATTCTCCCTGTGTACCAGAAAAACAGGTAAGTCTTCCCACAATTCACTTGAGGACCACAGCTGAACCAGCTCAGCTGTGGTCTGATATGGGCCACAGGGCTTTGGCAGCAAGAGGCTTTGCCTGTGCCCATGCCTTGGACAAGTAAGGAGTAGACTGGGCAAGGGAAGGGGATGGAAGCAGCACCAGGGGAGGGTGCAGGGCTAATTTGTCTTTACTTCTACTATAAAGATTGGCCTCCACTGTCCTATTCCATTAATTTCATCCATAATTTAAAAAAAAAACAACCCATATTCTTGGAACTCTGAGCATCTTTAGTGACAACTTCAAAATAGAAACTTATGAAGAAGTGTAAGGTGTTTCTTGTTAAAATATATTCATGAAGTTCCTGGTTTATAAGCATTGAAAGGATACTCAGTTCTACTGTTTTTTGATTTTTAACAGTGTTCACTCGGTTATAAGCATTATTCATGGGTATATTGCTCAAAGCCTCAGTTCAACCTCACTTTACAAACATCTCTTTGGTAAATATAACATCATTTTTCCATTATTGCTCTGTCATCTTGCTTGATCACTGAACATTGAGTGGCATCTGCATCATGCAGTACTCAAGATGAGCTGGCTGGCAGGAGGGTGTTATTAACAATCATCATATTACACCAGAGTAACACACAGTTTCCTGACCTCTTTTCTTTTTCCAGACTTGTCTACATTATATTGACAACAAAGATTTGCTTTACAATCTCTCTCCCTCAAATGACAAGATAGCTTGGGTTTTACTCTCACAATCTTGCTCCATTATATCTGTAATGACTAGTAGATAAAAGATTTGTATTCAACAGTTTTTTTTGATTTTTATCAAAATATAAATATATACCTGATCTTATTACAGTGAAAAGTTTTGTTCTTTCCTTAATTAAAAAGGTGAGATCTATATTTTGCATATTTCAACTACTATTTATCACTTTAAATGTAACCCTGGTACTGTAAGTTCAATAATTAATTATTGAAGTAATGTGTTACTTTTTATATATAAGGAAAATATAGAATTTAGGTTTAGAGACAAATGGCTCTCCATTATTTTCAAGACCGATTTTGTGATACTAAAAATTCTTACTGTGATTTTCCAAGTACACTTGCTGTTTGGAGGGTAGACTCCAGGGAATCCTTCACTTCCAATAAAGCCGGACTCTCCAGATACAACTCCTCCACATGTAAAACTGGGCCTGGGAATGACAACAATCTAGCTTAATTTTTAAAGATACTTCATTTACAATGTGATGGGGATATCTGCTAAAATGTTGGTACAGAAATATACATCTGACTTTAAAACATGTTTGGATAACATTGGAAGGCGCATAAAATATAATGCAGTACATATTAATGCAAGATGTAGGCAGGGATAGAACTGATCATTCAACTCTTAACTTGCATGCTGCTATTTGTATAGTTTATCATCAACAACAAAAAAAGCCCTGGTCATAGTAAAAAAAAAAAAAAAAAAGTCACTTGGTCCTTAATTATATTAAACTC